GTCAACACCTGAAAGGACATGGGATAAAAGGCGCGAGCGTACGCGGATCGAACACCAGACCCACATGATAAGAGATGGCAAGAGAGAACTGCGTATTACGCCGGCTTTGAGTCTGGTGTAAGCAAAAGGTCATCGAGCGCGGAACGGGAAGATACACCTCCAAAGCATCAGCGAATGGAATCACCAGTCCACGTAGTGAATCCAATTGTGAATGCCGTACAAGAAGATAACACGATGGAAGGGACCAGTTCAGTTGCAAAAGCGTCTCAAGAGAACGTGATTTACCGAAGAAACGTGGTTCTCGACAGTGACCTTCAACCGGCTACATCGGCGAGTAATGAACCGTCGCAGCCCGAGTCAGAAAGACGACGTGAACCGTATGATCGTCGCAAAACTGATCGACGAACGACTTCCCGATTCAATAACCGATACCCTGACCTTGTCGACATGGAATACATCATGAATGACGTTGATGAGCAAACGGTGGAAATTTGTCGATATTTGGGAATCGATTCGGATTCGGTTGAAGCTAACAAGATTGGCACAATTCTTACTCGATTCGGGCTACGCTAAAAAAATTAAAAAGGGAGTGGAAGGAGGAAATTTCCGTCGGTTATACATTCCCCGTGACTCTGCAAGAGATTGTTATCTCCCTGTCCGACGGAATGGGTTACATAGCCTACTGGACTTGAGTTTATTGGATGTGCCCCTGGATACGACTGACCCGGTTGGGATGACCCAATTTTATTACACAGACTATCCCGAACGACAGGAATATGTGGCTCAGTTCCTTCTATGATACGTGAATCCAGCGTTCAAGTTGCTTGCAGCAAGAGCGTCGATCGGATTACAGGTAGATCCGAAAGATTATGCCGCAAGAAGGATGGGCAGAAGGTCTTTGCTGCACGATTGGCACATTATAAGACACAGAACCAGCTGGTATCTAATACGATGAAGGATGATATTCCACCATTTTTCCGACCTCAAGTCACTAAGCTGGGAGAGCCCATGGAACATATACGAATTGCTCATACGGCTCGGAAGGCGCTGAAAAAGTGCAAGACACGAATGGAAAAGGGCAACCTCACACAGCGCCATGCCTCCCAGGTTGAAGAGAGAATTAATCTGATCAAAAATACCATGGGAAGCGACTACGTTGAACCAGTGGACGGAGTCAACGTCTACATAACGGAATTTCTAGTGAACAAAGGCGAACGACGCCCAGAACGCGCTCCTAACCAGATAGGACGACGTGGCCTACGAAACCAGCAGCTTCGAGATAATCTCGCCGATGTACAACGTCGATTAGCCGATGACCCTAATAATCGAAGACTGCGGTTGGAAGAAAATGACGCACGCCATCGAGTCGATGCGGTTAAACGAAGTCGTCAAGGGAAAGGTCGCGGTCAGCGAGAAGTTGACCCGGAAAAGGCCATGGAAGTCGATTCGACGGAACCAGTTGACCGAACATCTGACCGTAATCAACCGGAAAGTACTAAAAAGCGCCCGCCAAGAGATGGCGAGGGCGATTCAAATGAAATGGAATAGTGTTGATCGTTAGGATGGAATAGTGTTGATCGATTAAAAGGACGTCTACGGCATTTGTCGGTACGTCACAAAAATTAAAAATGGTTGTTGTATAGGGGCGGCGTGACATATTCACACTAACTGTATTTGTGTATTTGTTGTTTGCAGCGTTTATAGCACAGAATCAGAAGGGATAAAGAAATCATGTGGAGCATCTATTGGGGTTGAAATTGATTCGGTCCCTAAAGCCGGCCCCAAGGGAGCAGTTACGGCAGTCAGCTGGCTCTCCTCCTTAAGCGATTCAGTGTTAGTTCGGGGTTGAAATTGGGGTTGAAATTGATTCGGTCTCTAAAGCCGGCCCCAAGGGAGCAGTTACGGCAGTTAGCCGGCTCTCCTCCTTAAGCGATTCAGTGTTAGTTCGAATAAAACTGGCGAGAGAAACTACGGTAATCAAGCCGGATCTCTTGAATACGAAAGGGGGCCACAAGCGGCGAAAAGAGAAAGACAACAGGTGGAATGTTATTGGGGTAAACTAAATGCGGCAGTCAGCCGGCCTCATTAGAGTTGCTACGGTAAAATGTGCCGGCCATCTCTCCAAGCGATTCAGTGTCAGAACTTAACGAGAGAAACTACGGTAATTAAGCCGGATCTCTCGAAACGAAGGTGGGCCACAAGCGGCGAACAAGAGTAAAAGATTGAATGTGGAAACGTCATGGGGTAAATTCAATGCGGTAGTTAGCCGGCCCCATCAGAGATGTTACGGTAAACTCTGCCGGCACTTTTGCCGCTCGAGGCATGTTGAAGTTGGATGTGCGACGGTAAGGTCAAATTAAAAGCTTCTACCAGGGAGGCAAGCAAAGAAGTGCTTGAAGCTGCAGAAAATTGGCTAAGTTCCTCCATGACCTTACATGGAAGTTTGAAAAGAAGTTGGATGACCTTTGGGATCATCATTGCCCAACAGAGTCACCGTATCTGAATTCAAGTCGCATGACCTTTTGGGACCATTAACCCAAAATGAGTCGCACATCTCAACGAATCATCTCAACAAAGGATGACCTTTACCAGGGAGGAAGCGAACTACGCTTGTCTACATGACGTCCCTCCATGACCTTTATTGGATCTCATTTTAAGTCGTACAACTGATACGCACCAATTCCGAAAATTGAAGCAGTATTCCCGAAGTCGTACTTGATACGCACCTGATTTTCAAGCGGATTGTGATGAAGTCGCACTACGGATGCGCGGAATTGCTCAACAGAGCGGAATGGGCCAAAGTGCGGAAAACGGTGGACAGAACCTGTGACCTTTACGAGTCAGAAATGGGGGATCCTAGTCTACATTTGATTAATACTTTTGTTGATCCTTTAACTGTTGATCTGTTTTATGATGATAGTATTTTTATAAATGGATCTCTTTATTCTCATCGTGTTAATGGAATTGTGCCTTATGGAATTGATGTGATAAATGGAATAAGAGAATTTGATGTTTTTGAGCACGCACAGACACTGGCGACCGTCGTCTTTTCGTGGATTCGGGAGTGTGTCCAGCCTCAACGGAGCTCGGCATCCCCCCAGAGGCATGTGAGCAGGGGTTCACTAGCGTTCACGTCCGCAACGCTGCGCCACTCGGATTACGTGTCTGTGTTGTGTCTCGCTTCTGATTGGCTTGCGTTTTGTTAGTGGGCGCGGCATAGCACGTGCTGCACACTGTTGAATTGGCTCTACGATTTACGATCGAGCTGCGCCGATCAGTGTTGATTTTCTGTTGTGCAGACTTTCAATATTATTAAAAGTCAGCAATTAGCGGTGCGACGTCTTGTGTTTCCACATAGTTCGCAATCCAGATCGCATTGCTCACTCCACAGGATCTATTCCGTTTAGGTCTCTGTCGCTGGATCCATTCTGGATCTAGCATTAGAGTGTCGTAAAGGAGGCATAAAGCACCCTTGAGATGAATATCCGTTTCCGCGGCAGTTGCTAAAGATCTAGCGTAGAAAATGAATGTCAGCACAATGAGAGATGCGGGTACATCGAGCAAAAATTTTATTTTTCGATACTGTAGTTTCTAACCAAGTTATAAACATGTTTCCTTTCTGAACGTTACAAGCCCGTCCCCAGGGACTGGTGAACACTATAACCGCGAAATCTGACAAGTTGTGACTTTAGCTGTTTACAGTAATACGGCGCATTATTAAGCAAGCCTATACAGTATACTGCTCGTTTTCAGTGTTCACCCGTCCATGAGACAGGCTTGCATATTTGTAAAATCCAGTAAAACGTTATGTAAAAAGACGGCATCAAAACAGTGTGAGTGACTAGTCACTTACACATATGCAATGATTGCCACAGTGTCGTGATTAGCATTTAAAGGAATTCCAGAAAAGGAGCAACCAACGTTCATTGTAACTTTTACTTTATATTTCGTTATTAAATACGTAATGCGTCGTTAAACATACACCTCGGTTTTTCTCATGTTGCGGTTGCTTTAAGGATATGTCTTCATATTTCAGTCAACTGGTGCTAAAATTTTCTTGCAAATACAATTACCAGAAATTACTAGTCTGCATAGTAAAAACTTCGTTTATGCATCTGTATTTCGAAGCATAAACCTAAAAAATTTCCATAAAGAAGCAAACGAAGAACAAGACTGGTCCGGATACTTTGTAAAAGAACTGTTCTTCCACGATTGCAAATTTCAGAAATAACCGTGCAAAATCCCATAATTCAAAACTGTTTTAGGGCTTAAGCTCTGGATACAGCTTTTCTTGCTGCGCAACAGAAAAGATCTCTATGCCAAGTGGCAGCAGGTGATAGTTGCAAATAAAAAGGAAAGATTGACCAACTGCGGTACACAAAAAAAATTGTAATGCCGTAAGGACAGCCACAATCAGCTGCGGTACATTCAGAATGAACTATTTTGTGACTCTTCAGATCACTTGGCGTTGTTCAGAGTGCTCTGACTGCATCCGCAGAAAACTTTGGTGCATACACAACTTTTAAAAAATAATTTTATTCATCAGATGCAATTCAATTTTGTAAAATTAAAGGAGTTCACACTTTGTTAATTAAAACTAGTGGTTTACAATGTCATCCGTACAAGCCTGCTCGAATACTTACTTATTGTCGTTATGGTTATGTAGCCATGCCATCGCAAACTGTTCAACATCGAAAGAGTTTAACGCTGATCTTTCACAGCCTGAGTGCGGTCCCCTACCCATTGGAAAGGACTTCTAATCAAAACCAGTATCTTTATGCATTACTTCAATAAATACAGGAAGGTAATCAAGCGCTTTATTATCTGTAAGCTGCCGATTATCTTTTATTATCATAGTTTTCTACATTTCATGAAGGATGTCGCAGCTGATTACTGTACATTGATCCGACATTTCACCAAACAGCATGATATGGGTTTTTCGAATGTATGGCTTGCCTGATAATATATGATTATGTACACGTTGTCTTCGATAAATTTTCTGCCGCAATAACATCCCACATTGTATCGGCTTGCAGCAGTACAAAAATTTTTGGTGCGCTGCTAGCCTCGATTGGAAATTTGCATTTCTATACCACATACTGCATTACCAGTAAACTAAAAATGACGGTCGGAGTTGGAATCGATCTAGGCACCACCCGGTGCTGCGTCTACGTGAGAAAGCATGGCTGCAAACCAGAAGTGGTACTCAACGCCGACGGGGAGCCAATCACCCCTAGTTGGATCCGCTACGAACAAGGTGACAATGAAGTGGGAAAATTTGCCAAAGAGCAGAGCCCTGAGCACCCCACCAATACTGTGCATAGCGCGAAACGGATAATTGGGCGGAATTTTGCCGAGGAAGCCGTGCGGACCGAGAAGGATCGTATGCCTTTCAAGATTATCAACGAAAATGGCTCACCGGTAGTGCAGGTTAGTGAAACTGCTGGTAACCGAAGCAGCAGTAAAATTCCTCAGAAGCTACTTGCTGCTGCAGGAACGATGACACCTAAATGAGCTCATCAGATACGGCTTAATCTGACAGTGGTCCGAGAAAATGAAACACAGTATTATAATACTGTGCGTACCGGTCATCACAGTAAAGTTAATGATAGCACAAAGCTTTGTACGCATCTGACGCAGCTGTCACAGCATACAAAAAACTGACTGCGGTATTTCAGAACCCGTAGACAGCATATAAACCCGTATCCCCAGATTTGCTATTTGAACGGTATACCGGCAAAGTACAAGTATAGCGGACCTTCACATCGGACTGAGTTTTGCATCGCCATTATTAGTAACAACACCTTATGCTGTTATAGGTAGAACAACTTAGTGAGTCCAATGAGATTATATGGAGGAAGACCTTCCGTCCGGAACAAATCAGCGGCACAATACTTGCGTACCTTAAAACAACCGCCGAGCACTTCCTGGCTACCGATGTGTCCCAAGCGGTTGTCACGGTTCCGGCTAACTTTACGGAACCTCAACGCGCAGCCACCCTAAGCGCCGCTTATTTGGCTGGTTTCAGCGATGTAACTCTACTCAATGAGCCGACGGCCGCGGCTATCGCATACGGGGATGCGCTCGACCAACAATCAACTATTCTTGTGTTTGATTTTGGTGGTGGCACCCTGGATATTACGATAATGCGAGTAGAGGCCCGCGGGGAATACCGAGTCATCACCACCGACGGCGACATGCATTTGGGTGGGGAGGATTTTGATGAGGCAATTGTCAACTATTTTTTGAGAGATATTGAGCAAAAGCATGGTGTCAACCTGACTGAGAGCGCGAAAGCTCGTGCCGCTCTAAAGATCATTGCGGAGGACGCTAAAATCGCTCTGTCCAGCTCAAAGACCCCCAAATACCGAAAATTTGCTCATGGTCTTCTGGGTCACGTCAAGTACGAGGCAGTATTATTGCGAGAGACCTTCAATGCAATGTTTAGCGATATGCAAGAGAAAATCTTGGCACCTGTAAACCGCGCTCTGACAGCGGCAAAGATATTAGCGCCCGATATTGACAAAGTGGTACTGGTAGGCGGGAGCTCCAAGTTACCAGCCGTTAAGGAAATGTTAAAAAGATTCTTCGGTAAGAACGATGCGATCTGTGCGGACACTAATCCCGACGAAATCGTTGCCCGGGGCGCGGCCATACAGTCCTACCGCATCAACGGTGGCCAAATTAGTAATATACAAGAGGTTACGGCATATTACTACGGACTGGAAGTAGTGGACGATACGCAAAATAAGGATTACGTGAGCCGGCTAATTTCCAGAGGGGATCCGTATCCGTGTAGGGTAACGCGCAGTTTTGGTACGTGTGACAACAAACAGAGTGAGGCTACATTTGTTATTCATCAAAGTAGAAACGGATTTGATGTCGATCAGTTCCGTATTGGTGAATTCACCATCGACGGTCTGCCGCCACGGCCAGCGGGAGAATGCGAATTTTACGTCACTTTTTATACTGATGCAAGTAATATCCTCCACGCTACTGCGAAAGGCAAAGGCGACATTGCGAATTACGAAAAAAACATAAAAATCATTTTAGATAACGCCTGATAATCTAAGCTCCATCGTTTATGGTCTACAAGGCGGCTAATTGGTCATAATTTTGCTCAAGAACTGCGCCGATTTGTTAATGGGAAACGGTATAAGGTGGTTAATAAATTCAGACTTAGTTTATTTCGATACGATAAGTTATTGATTGTTATGCTACCAAGTATCAACCAAATAAAGCAGCAATTTCCGCTTGGAGCGGGATGACATTGGTGTGGGCCAGTGGCTGTATTTCATGTACAGTACATGCTTTCTTCACAAGGCTGGAATGGGACATTGCGGCTGTGCATGGTGCTCACGTACTACATAATATCGCACTGCATAATTATTATAAAGATTGCTTTATACAGCTATTATTATTATATTACGGTACAAGAGCAGACAACCCCAAAGGAACTTCAAGCCTGGTGCGAACGTGTGTATCTGCATGTACAGAATATTAAACCGGCTTTCCTGTAACATTTCTGCGCCATAGAAGTTGCAAATGGTCTGAGCCGAAAGTCTGATTCTGAATGCTATGCTATAAGCCTGACCAGGGCACACAGGCATCCTCCAAATCCAAAAGATTCTCAGATTTTGTAAAATGGTAGTGTACTATTATAGAATGCTTAAAAAAATATTTCTATCTGACATCGTCAAGGGGCGTGGCCATACAACAATTAAAAGTTTGCATACTACCACTGTGCAATGCAGTGCAGTACAGGTTATTCGTAATTATACTAGTTTAGTCTCAGCAGCCCTTAGGGCAAGCAAGCGAGCAGCATGTATAAGCATTTATATATCAGTATGGTGTAGAATAATATACTCTGTAGTTACTTATATTGTGTGCAGATTTATGTACAGGGTATTAGCTTAAATAAATCACTAATCTGTATAAAAATCGTATTGTGGATATCGGGAGTGAACGTCACTGCGAAGACAGCATGATTTTATAATATTGCTAACAATAACTGCACTTGATAGCCGTCGGCATTAATAACAGAAAAAACCAAAAACAACCATGTTAGTATGATTCAACGAAATAATCGAACAAATAAATGCGATTATATATGCGGAATATAAATAGATCGATATTGGCATCGTTACTTTAACAACGTATGATGCTACAAAGGCCTATAATGCGCACATTTTATTATGCAATAATCAAAAAATGATTACTCGTAAGGATTATAGTCCGAGTCGGAATCACTCTCTGCGTCCCCATTGTCGTCCATATCCCATTCTTCTACTGGAAGGGGATCATCCAGGATTTCGTGTAGAGCGAACCCATGAAAAGCTGGCTCGGGGTCAGCATCCCGGCGAGAGCGTCTCATTGTAGTGGAGATGCGGCTGTTTTGAATCTGTCTTCCGTACTTGTCCAGTTTGGCTGTGGAGGTGGTGCACTTTGTCGGACAACGCAACGCCGGACTTGTTCTGCCAGATCCTTGTATACTTTACTTGCCAAATCTGAGAAACGTGCAACGAGAGTCGTATCAACATACTGAGTTTTGCCAACAGCCATAGGGTCCATGGTGTATTTCATTAATGCACAGGAGGGCACGAAACAGGAGGTAGATGGAGCAGTAGTGGGAATGGTAAATGGCGGTCCCGTAACAGCTTGGAGAGGTTGCTGCACGCTGATTTCCTGTTCAGGAATTTCCGGCGACAGCTCTCTGTTTGTTGTTCGCATACGCAGTTGGTCGTAATGAAGACTTCCTTCCTTCGTCCGTCTGATAAGGGATTTCTTGTACTGGTGGGTCGCTGGAAACGCGATCCTGATAGCCCTTGAAATCTTATAGCGGGTAACGGTCGGATTAGAATGTGCCAGTAACTCGGTCAGCATTCGCGCATTCACATATCGGTGAACGTTGTTACGTCGATACTTTATGACCTCTAAGTTTACATGCAACCATTCAAAAAGCTGGCCGTTTCGTGATTTCCTCGGCATGGTGGAGATTAATTTCTATATTCATCTGACCAGCATCCTTCCATTTTAAAGTGCAAATATTTTTGTGTTTGTTGTTACATCTCCACCATGCCGAAGATTTGCTCTTCTTCTTTTGCATTTAGCCTTCTGTGTTTAATGGATAGCTTTGTCCACTGCCTTGCGCTGTTCAAGCTGGGCAAAACACAGATCAAGCAGTTTGGTGGCGGTGAAGGAGTGGACAGGCAGTGAATGTTCTCCCGTTCCACACATCCAACCTGCACGCTCTAAAGTGCTACAGAATCCTTTCAGTGTCGAGAGTGTTCCTGCATCATCAATTTTCTGGAAAACCCGCTACCCACAGTCCAGTGGTCATTCAAAAGCTTGTTACCATGGTGGCCATTAGCTTAACATCGGCTGTTTGTATATCCCGAGATTTTATTACAATTCTTGTTATTACATCGAATTGTCATTGAAATTAGCGAACTGCGAATAAGCAAAATAACAGATTCTGCTCATGCCTGTTTATTTTGTTCGTGCGTCCTTAATGTAATAATCATCGTGCCATTACTTATTACATAAGTAATCAGCCTTTTAACATGCTCGGAATCTTAAGACATTATTGATCCGTGCTGGGCTTGTAATACTGTAATTAAGTGATTCGTCGTAAAAATAGTTTGCAGTTTCTTAGATTTTTGCAAAATTAGAAGGAGATCCATCTGTACCTACGGTAGGCTTCAGTGACAATGAACTTGTTTCATTGTATTTTAAAACATTTCAAGCTTTCACCTATAAATTTCGAAAGATATTGCACAGACAAACAATTTTCTAACTCATATACACAGTTCAATATATAGATACTTGCACATGCTATCCCAAAACAATCAAGACTGGACTGGAAGTACAGCAGGAAAAAGAAAAATTTCGTACATGTACGGTATTTACGTTTTACATACGAGTACCCAACGTACCGCCGCCAGCATAAAAATGGTTTTTGCCACTTTGTAAGTAGGAGCAGTTTAGTTGCATAGCACTATTCGGGACCGTTTTACAGGTTTACGTACCACCGTATAGCGCGCATTTAAAGCCGGTAAAGGTGTAGCTATACTGTACAGGCACAGGAACTGGACACTGCACAGTACGCACTACTGAAGTTTAAACACATTCTTTAATGGGTACAAACCATTTTACTCGGACCCTTTCCCTGTTCTCCTGCCTTCACCCGCCTGGAGTGAGAGGTTACGGCAATACATGTGGTTAAATGACTTAGATCAGACGCAGATCATCAGTTTTGCTGCTCCTGCAGAACTCCATATAGAGCCTGCACTTGTACAGGGTATTTACGTGAGCGACACAGATACTACGTTCCATTGTCAAAGTTAATTTCCAAATTTGCGGTCGGTGTTGTCTCTTTACCAAAGAAAAATGTATCAACTGCTTCCTATTTCAAATGTTGTAGATATTCGCTTTCTGTTTAAATACGTATTACGTACTGTTTCGTATTATCGTGCCCACCGCGCGCGCGCAATCGAGAAAAAGAGCCAGAGAAGCAGAAGCGGACTCCTCAGCACGCTTATAGTGAAAGGGCTACGCCAAACATTGACCCTTTCAGTTGTCGATTCGCTGATGTTAAGAGTGAGCACATGCTACCGGTAACACATAGGCCACTACCAAATCGTGAATTTTCGAAAATTTCGTCGGCCGATTTGTCAGCACGTTCATACGCAATGTCTTTGGTTACGGCATAAGTATACTTGCGCAAATATTTAGCAAAATTTTAAAAATTTGTAATTTGGCAGTAAAGGCAAAATAAAGGTAAATTATTACGGAAAAACCGTACCCTTGAGTGCACCGTAATAGTACTCTGGTCGATCACTACTTTTGTTAATGAACTTGAACCATTGTCAGATCCGGCCGCTGCGGCGCTGCCTTATCGTTGCCGGACAAAGCCGGCGTATAATATCCTGTGGCTTTCCGTACTCCAGGATCTGTGATGTAAGTTCACCTCCAGTATGTTTGATTGTAATCTAATCATGTTAGATTCGGAAACTCAGAAAACTCTGTCTGCTTTTACAAGTCAAGTGTAGAATTTTTTTTAACTTTTTTGTGATAATTCGCTGTCTCCAGCTTCCAATAACTTTATTTTGATGCAAAAAGCTGAGGCATATGTAATTCCAGGTTCAGTTTCTAATTTGGGTTTTTGTGCAAAAATTGCACTGTTTAATGAAAAATAATCATGTTGTCAGAGCGGCATCCGCTCTCTATAGGATCGTTCGATAGAATACATGTATTTCATTAGACTGTATGCTTTGCCGATAGCCTAGTGGTGCCTCTCTCGAGGCCTTATAGTATGGAGATTGTGGGTTTGATTCCCTCAATCGGCAGATTTTTTGCGAGTGTCTGTGCGAGCCTAGCCCAGCCCTTTCAATTTTAATTCAAAACTGGATAAGTTCGAGAATTACCATTTAAAGGCGCGGTTTTTCACGCGGTTTTCTTTCACTTTCTAAGAAGATCTGCCACAACATAAATATTAAGCACACTATTGCAATTAATGCTTTTATTTATTGATGCCAAAAACTGGACTGGGGCCGAAGTGATACATACAAGAATGAATAGGTTTTTAAAAAGCCCGTGGAAAAGCTGGCACAAAAGTGGCACAAAGTACAAATTATTCTATTTCTACTCCCTCCCGTTTTTCAGCAAACCATTTGATTCTAATTTTCCTGGGTTGTTTGCATAATTGCTTATGTAACAAAAAATATATCAGTTGGGTGTTACTTCAGATGGCAGGGAGGCAAAATAGGTAAACTTTCTTTTGGTACGTCCTTTCTAGTATAATTAGTATTTAATGAGTATAAGATATTTAATGGGTATTTAATAGTATATGCATTTAATTATACTAAATTAGTATCGTAGATATAGTAAGCTTAATAAATAATTTATTAGGCTAAATTTTGTAAGTGCACTTAAGGGTTTTGGCCCGGTACATAGTATCAAATTCGTGTACATGCACGAAAACTTTCACTTTCGCGCACTCGGAAACACTTCTTTGCTTTGTTTTATTACATTCTGTAGCCAGATGATTTGTATACATAGGCGTAAAAGCCGTTTGTGCGCGCAACATCCGGTTCGGGAGTTATGGCTGTTCGAAAATTCCAAAAAGTTTAAATGCATTCAGGTGTACCAAAAGTCTCATTATGGACCGATCTCCTTTAAATTTTGT